GATTTCTTGATTAGTCATTATTGATGATTACTATTTATGAAGAAAATTTTAACATAAACCTATAAAAACTAACAAACATGTCTCCACCTTGGTGATCACGTCTCTGAACCCCACTACTTGGCAGTACTAACTGCTCCCATATACGTCTCTGTGGCATTTTGTACATATTCCTACTACAGCACTTATTTTGACAAGATGTTGAGGGCAATACTTCTTTTAAATGCTAGTAATCACTATACAATTAATTCACTCAAAGTTTTATTGACTGAGTGAGCAAATTAATATGATAATTCTAAGCATTTTAATATTTCATGACTTAAGAAGACAGGAATAGGGAAATTAATGTATTTTATTCAATAAACTATCTACTTTCCAAAGATGACCGTCAAAAGTCACATTCATTCTGTCTCTATGGCAGAATATAAAAAAAAAAAACTGTATAAAACCCTAAAATCCTTTATTATTAGAAACTATAGTTGTGTATGTTTCAAAAGGAGTCGAATGGTGTTTATGTTATTTGGTATGTTCAGATAACTTAGAAACAGTTATGCTTATTTCTTAATTCCTCAGATACCAAGGAGAGCAGACATTCAAATAACCTTTTTCTCTTCCCTATTAATCAACAAATGAAGCAAATAATTGGGAGGCTAGTAGCTGTCTAAGGAGATTAAGCAATTGCTTAACTGAGCCTAATAAGTATAACTTAAAGACATCAAGATTTTGAGAAAACTTTTTTTCCATACATTAATTTTTTAACTTCACATGATATATTTGTTTTCTTTGTAAGTTTCTTAAAGCAGTCATTCCAGAATTCCAGTGCTTTTTTTCTAGACACATTTTTAAGAAAAGTGTATAAGCCAATACTCAAATTCTGAGACAATTTTCCTCATCATATTTAAATAGAAACCATGTAATTTAACCAAAAGAGTCAAATAATTTTACCACATAGCTGGAGGAATGCTGGGTTCAGTTTACCACTCCAATCCAGCGGTGACTTGATAATCTTATTTAAGAATAGGTAATAAGATTTCTAATAGTTTTCGGATTAAAAACAAAGTAGGGTTCTTTAGAACTGAATTTGTCATTAGCCTTAAAGGATCAAATTTGCCTTTCGGAATTCATCTAATACAGCATTGTACTGCATAACTAAGGCCATGTTTGATATTAAAAAGGGAGGTATTTTGCACTAGATAACCTAGATAGTTTACGGATAGAAGAAATTATTTAGATATATAGACTCAAAGTTAAAATATAGGCTAAAATAATAACACTTTAAAAATCACAAAATATGTAACATAAATTATTAATAATCAATTTAAGAAAACTTGGTCTCATAATTAAAGACATAAATACTAATTATTAGGGAAGAAAATCCATTTATTAAACTTATATTGCTTAGGTTACACTCCTAACATTGTTTATTTATCATTCAAGTTAGGTTGGTTACATTCAAAAGTTCACTGATTCAAGATTCTGAGACAGCTTGGGAGATGAAAAAGGCCATATACATGGAATATAAAATCTTTATTACAATGATCATCAGATCAGAATTCAAGAGTGATTTTTAAAAATACTGGTATCTGATTAGCTTTAAACAATGTTGATATCTAAATGTACATACCTGAGGAAGAAGGAATCTCAATTTTATAAGAAAATATAAAAATATAATCTTATTTTACATTAATACCTTTCTTTCCTATTATTAAACAGGGGAGATATTCTTAAAGAACTATATTAATTTCATTGTATCGAGACTGCTTTTGCTCTATCATCCTAACTTTTGTGAATAAGGGATCTTCAAAAGGAATGCTGTCTATTGAGGCCATTTTGCATGTAAAGATTTTTCACATAAGGGTTAAGTGTAAAGAATATGATAGTGGGAAAGAGAAGTGTGTATACATGCCCCTTCTGTTCTTACACTGTATCTACAATCGTCAGGTTCCTGTTCACATTGGCAGAACAGCACAAGGCCATCGCTCTTTATTGAGACCTCCCCAAAAGATATATCAAAATCTCTCTCCCATGGCAAGACATAGTATATGAGTAAAATTACCAATTAAAATAGAGAAATACAAAAAAGTACCCTAGGAAAAAATAATACTTATTTCTAAATATAAAAGAAAATCTTAAGAACAAAGAAGCCCACAAAAGAAAGCTACAACGAGTAAAGAGTTAGCTTCAAAAATTGTGCAAGAAAAAGGGATTGTCTTCTGGACCACGGTTGATAACACCAGAAATAGGTTTTCCTCCAGTGGATAGCATGAATCTCACAAACCTGGAAACAACAGTATTAGCTGCAGGCTTACTGATCCGATCAAGAAGGCTTTAAACTAAGACTCCAAGTGGAACAGAAAAATGTGAATCAGTAAAATGGATATTACGGAGGACAATAGGTTTGAAATAAAAACGTCATAGTGAAAAAAAAGTCTAGGAATTATTTTGTGAAAATCATGGCTTGGAATTATAGTTAGGCCTAGGATATACAGTGTACCAAATAAAACTAAAATAAAAATAGTAGACACGTTAAGCTCTTAAAATGCACTCTTTTTAATCCTTATACAACCCTGGCAGATGAGTGTAAGGGCTGCCACGGATGTTTGTGCCAGGAGTGCCCTGCACAAGGGAACCTGGACTGTGGGACAAGGGGGGTGTTTTCCCCTCCACACTCCAATTGCCCAACAGATATCACTATCTCCAATTTACAAGGTCGGAACCTAGGCTTAGGGATGTTCAGAAATCTGCTCAAGGTTCTACAGCTAAAAAATGATAAGGCTGAACTGGCTAAAACTGGAAGGCAGATGTGTTTGGAATTCATAATTTTAGTTAGGGGAAATTTATACACACATATGCACACGTATGTAATTTATTCTAAAGCAGCAGAGTAGGGGGAAATTATCTCACTGATTTGTCGACCAAGAACAGCACCGTGCCTGGGAAACCTGTGTCAATGCAGATCATTTAATGATCAAGAAAAACAGACAGGAATTTAGAGGAGACGCTCATGTTAGGAAAGGAAAATCAAAAAAGAGAAACTGTCATAGGAAAATAGCATAGCAAATCTAGAAAAAAATATTACAGAAGGTAGTTTATTAATAATGAGTACAAGATACAGATGAAAGGAAGGGCTGTAACTAGTTGGATCCCTCTTAGGAGGAAGTCCAATTCTGCTGAAATCTGGCTAGCTGAGGGGCAAGCCTCCAATAGTAACCACTTTTTGTTAAATTTGACTTTTAGAGAAGGTGACCTGCATACACAATGGAGACACTGGGAACAAAAGTTTTGAGGAATGCTGGAGGAAAGGAAAGGAATGATGAGCGGAGTTGGGTAAATTCTGCAGATGTGAAACAGATAGCCCTTCATCACACAAGGAGCAATGGGCAGGTATCCAGATATTCTAAGAAAATATAACTGAGGAAGAAAATGAGAGACTAAAGATGAAATTCTGACTCTAATATTGCAAATAAACCTGTAACCAGAAAAAAGGAAAGACACCTAAAAAAATAATTTAATTTTATAAATAGCAGTTTTGTATTTGGATATTAGTGTTTTCAAAAACATAGACAATAAAAAGTGAATGTGAATGACCCAATCAGGTGGTAAGGACTTGGAAAATGAGTCTGTGATGTCTAAAGTCAAGAGTGCTCTAAGATGCTCCAAATACGAAAGATCTAAAAATATCAGCTGTGTTAAGAAAAGAAAAAAAAAAGGGATAATCCCGCAAGCTGAGGGAGAAAGAACTGCTAATCTCTTTTTTTATTTATATTTTCTCTATTAAGGAAAATTATCATCAAATTAGAACAAGTAGAACAAATAATTTTGATATGGATTTGGAATTGATTTATTTGGAATTCAGATTTCCTTAGGAACCGAAGTAAATGAAGGATAATAACAGAGAATTTTCTGAATGATGCACTGCTGTCTGCTCTGTCAGTGACCTGTGAACACTGACACAAGAAAGCAGTGATTATCAGATGTCAGGAAGTATTCACTAGGAAAAGACTTTTTTTTTAGGTTATTAGACATGTAGGATAAGAATATTCAGTTCACAATGCATCTTAATTTGAATGAGGTATCTTACATAGCCTTTCATTATAACTTTGTGAACAAGATAGAAATACATTGGTTTTATGATAGTACAACTGAGTGGGTTGCTGGTGGTTGATCAATTTTTCTCCAAGCAAATTTTGTCCTTTCTACTGTCCAAACTCAAAATGCTATTCTGTGATTTATTTAAGGAAGTAAAAAAGACACTTGACAAATCCGTGGATAATGCAAAGTTGTGAGGGAACGCTAATAGATTACGTGGTAATCAAATAAATCTTCAAAAACGTTTTGTTATGCTGAAACAGTCATCCCAGAAAACATACTACGTAACAGGAAACAATGTAAAGACCTACACTTAAATTTCAAAAATGTGATTTATACCAACAAAGGATAACTGAGTTTAACAGTAGTTCATTTGAAAAAGATGTAATATTTTCACATAACCCATGATCTTCAGCTACCTTAGGAAAATAGCATACTTGATTGTTTCTTCTCATTTTACTAAAATATTTCTATTCTTCAGACATATTAAATTAACTTCTAAAACATCCTATGTAACTTTGAACCCCTTAGGGTAAAAATATGTAGGACTTCTAGCTTCTTAGGAAATAACGAATTATACAGTATAGGTAAGTGTGAGCACATCTTACATAAGTTTCTTTCACAGCAATTATACCATGTAATTTCTACAGCATATCTAGTGATGAAGGATTTCAGAAAGCTCAAAGGATGTCACTTTAATATGTCAGCTGTCATAGTGGAAAATGCATAAATTAATTTCAAAGATTTGTAAATAATTTGGAACAGTTCTGTGTAGAGTGATATTATCTTTGTTACAGTAAAATATATTCTGGAATTCACGCAAAGTGATTAAAAATTTATATCAACAAATCATAGTAACAAGGTCTTCACGGAGGATCACAAAGGAAAAAAGAGACACCGATTAAATTTCTCACCTGCCTGATACCCAACCGGTATGCCACAATCCGATCTACTGCGTCAGGATTCATCTGTGTCCACTGTAGACTGTAGGAATAAACTCGGTGTCTGTTCTGCCACACAGGATTGTAGGTATCGTAATAGAATTCTGGAGCATAGGCCTTTCCTAAAAACAGAGAGAGTGCTTAAATTTGAATGGTGACAGATTACAGTGAAATATACTTATTCTTTTTGGTCCTTGTACCATGTTCTACTATGTGTTCCATAAGTAATTCTTGTATTTGAAAAGTCACTTTATTAAAATCTAATGAATTTTTTGGAGAATTTTGAGAATAGAGGCATGAGGATTTCTTGCTTGATTGGATGAGCGGTGTGAGAGGAAGAGAAGAACCATGGATGACTACAAGTTTTTTGGCCTAAGCAGCTGGAAGAATGGAGTTTCCATCAACTAAGATGAAAAGCTATGGTAGGATCAAAGTGGGGGGCGGGGAGGAGACCACGAAGTTATTTTTGCACAATTTGAATGATCTAAATGGAGACATCAAGTGGGATGTACTAGTCTAGAACTCAGAAGGGCCAGGGTTGGAGATGTAATTTTGCAAACCATGGGTATATAGATAAATTTTAAATTTAAAGCCATGAGACTAAAGAGATCTCTAAGGGAGTGTGAGTAGATAGAGAAGAAGACTAAGGTCTGACCCCAGGGCAATCCAAAGTTGAGATATGGGAGGAGGTAACAATGCCCCCGCAAAGGCCTGAGACAGAATAACCAGGAGGAAAATCAAACCTGGGGCATCCTAGAAGTCAAAAGAAGTATATCAGCAAGTCAGTGATCAACTCTGTCAAAAAAAAATCAGTAAAAATGAAAATTTGTGTTTATATTATCTGTCTTTGGTCAATAAATTTGAAATTAACCAAACAAAAACTTAACGATAACACAAGAACTTTGGTCAATAATAAAAAAGCTTTTATTTAGATTTTAAGGGTGTCTGAAGTGCATATAGTGTACACAACATATATAAACCATCTCAGCTTTGTTTTGATTGCCAAATTGAAAAGTGCACAGACCATTTGGAATTATGGGTCCAATGTCCTGATATTCTGAAATATAGATTTTTTTCACATCTTTCATTTTTCTCACTTTTCATTTATTTTTCTATAATAAATAAATAGATTTATTTATTGAATCAACAATATTTAGTGAGAGCCTATTAAATGCCAGGTAGTGTACTAGGCATTGGGGATACAACGAATGAGGAGGTATGGACTCTGTCCTCATAGAAATCACTTATATTTTCTTTCTCAAACTTTTCAAATAGCTTTGCAATTCTTACTGGATGATGAGTTAATAAGTTGCACATTTATCAGTCCTCATTCAACATCTTTTCTGTTTTTCCTTTTTTAAAAAATTAGGTTCAATATTAAACGTCCTCCTGGGTTCCTGTATGCAGGAACTTCTCTTACCTGGTTTTGCATATTTCTTCACCACTAGTCATCTATCATCTAGGGGTTGTAGAAGAGTTGATTCATAAAAACTTATAATAATGTTTAGATAGTTAAGGGTGGATTTTGAACACTAAGAATGAAAGTGATGGTCTCTATTTCCCTGGAGAAGTTCACTAGGAAAACGTAAAGTCAGACGAACTGAATGTAATTTTTGACAAGTTTACTAGTAAAATTAAATACAGCAGTCCCCCCTTATTTGCGGGGGATATGTTCTAAGACCCCCAGTGGATGCCTGGACCCACAGATAGTACTGAACTCTGTATTCACTGTTTTTTCCTGTACAGACACACACCTATGATAAAGTTTAATTATAAGTGAAGCACAGTAAGAGCTGAAAAATAACTAATAAGAACATAGAACAATTATAACAATGTGCTGTCATAAAAGTTACTGTAGATCTTAGCAACCTCAGAACACGATTTCTTTTTTTCCTTATTAAGTCAAGAACTTGCACCTTTTCACTTAAAGGAAGCACTTTATGGCTTCTCTTTGGTATGTCCGAATCGCTAGCATCACTGCTCTTGCGCGTTGGGGCCATTATTAGGTAAAATAAGGGTTACTGGAACACAAGCACTGGCATACCCAACAGTCGATCTGATAACGGGGACGCCTACTAAATGACCACTGGGCAGGGAGTGTGTACAGAGTGAATCCGCTGGACAAAGGGATGATTCACATCCCCAGCAGGACAGAGCCAGACAACAAGAGATTTCATCACAGCTACCCAGAATGGCTTGCAATTTAAAACTTATGAACTGTTTATCTCTGGAATTTTCCATTTAATATTTTCAGATGTATTTTGATTGGCTGACCATGGATAACTGAAACCGTGAAAAGAGAAGCCACCAATAAGGGGGGACTACTGTACATTGAATTAAATATCTGAACTTTAGTAACATTTGGAAAAGTCTCCTACACCAACATGTGTGCGTTAAAGAAAAATTTTGTATGAATATTCATTCAGTTGAATTGAAAATGGATTATTAACTCTGTACAAAGAATCTTGCAGAGAGGGAGGTCTCTAGAAAAGAGCCATCACGTTCATTTTGTTACTTTTTATCTTGTATGATATTTTTACTTATCACTAAATGATAGTACGAGTTCATGTTCACAATGCTTAAAAGCAAAATCCAGATGAGAGGAAAACAATATACTGAATGAAAGAAACAATACCCAAAACATCATTGACAACTGGTATTGGGGACCAAATTTCTCAAGATGTTGTTGAGGAAGTGCATTTAGTGATCACCTAGTTAAAGAGCTAGGAGTCTTGATTGAAAATAAGCATCCAGAACCTATAAATGAAGTAATGAGCTCCTTAAGTTAACGTAAACCTAGAGTGTTTTCCTTAGAGAGTGGTGTCTAGATTGAATTGAGCAGGTAAGAGTCTCAATGGGGTTTTTTTGGTGGGGGGATGGGTGGTTCCTTTTGTTTTTTAACCAAGGTTGAAATACAAGGGATATCAGATTTAGTTCTAAGCATCACTTTTTTCATAAAATGAATGATGCCTTCAAATAGAAAAACGGAGAGAATAGAGCCACAACCAGAAGATATTCAGCATGGAAGAGAAAAAAATCTCTAAAAAAATCGGCAAATGGAGTCTAGTAAGAGCCGAAACTCTATTTACAGGGAAAGAATATCAGATTAAATTTTAACAGATCTATGAAATAAGATGAATACCAGTGAGTGGCTATTAAAGGGCTACATATTTTGACTTAGAACTGTTCTACCAATCCTCTCTGAATACGGAGTGGCCTAGCTCAATAAACTGTGATTATCCCTTCACTGGAGGCAATTAGTAATAACTTAGTAACCATTTAGCAGGGCTGAGATGGGTGACTGTCCGCAAGATGGCCATTAAGGTACCTCTCAGTCTCAAATCGCTAGGGTGCTATGAAACACGTGCCTGCTGTTTATTGTATCAATTCAATTGTTTTAAGCATACTTATTTACAAATTCCATTTCATGTTTCTATTATCTGTAGTCTAATCCTGCTTTTTGTTCACTGCCAGGAGGGTAATGGGCTGCATGTCATAAATGCAAATTGATATAATTCTAGGTCTAATTGTTCATCTAAATAAATACTTTTAAGATGATTGAAGTAGTTTGATTCTGAAGTCAAAAAAAAATCCTCATGATCTTGTAAATAATATGAATTTGTTTATTAAGATCTATTTTCAACATTGTGAAAAATTAAGCTACAATCTAACCATCATTTAAATATTCCAAACAGATCAAGTTTTAATGTAAAATTCTACCATCATCTTTATATTTAATTGCAGACTATTACAAAGGCTTTTCAATGTATTTTTAAAATATTTTATTTTATCTGCATTGACATATCTGCATAAAATGTAATAATTTTTCATGGAACTTTAGATTATAAAATAATTTAGAGATCATCTATCCTAATGTCTTAAATGACAGATAGAGAAATTTAGAGACAGAGTAGAAATTGGGATGATATATGTAAGTTGATATAAACAAATAATCAAATATAACAGGACACATTACAAATTTTCATTTTTATTCATGAAATTAAAAAAAATAGAGAAAGTTTATTTTAGTTGAATAATTGCACCACTTTAGAATTAAAAGAGGAAAACGTGTTTTTAGATGGTGCATAAATAATATTGATTAGTTATAAAAAATTACTGATAAAAATAATTTTGAGTAGTTATAGTTAAATATAGATGTACTCACTTGTGTCTCAGAGCATAGTTTGTGCTAAATTTCCTTTGGATAAACTTTACAAAGGAAAATAATCTCTAATTTCATTTGAGAAATGTATCTTAAAAGTAACAAAAGCCCCACGAATTTCTTCTCTGATTTCAGAGCTAATCCTATTTAACATTTATGCCCTCATTTTGTCAGATGCACACAGGAATATCAAGGACATATCCGTATAATAATCTTAGGCTCTGACAACCAAACATGACATCTGCTGGTTGAACAGGGAAAGAATTCATAATATTTTTTTTCTTTTTTATCCTCTAGGCATTTTTTTCTCCTTCCAGCAAGCATGTCAAGAAAATTTTCTTTTTCTTTTATATTCTAGTTTTATTTTTATGCAATGTTGTTCCAGTTCAAATTTTCTTAGACTAACTGATCTAGAACATTTATTATCTAAACTGGCAGATAAGTTTTAGATACATTGTGTATGATTATATACAGATCTTGGATTTTAAAATATTTTTAATATATACATAGAGAAAAAATTTAATTGTTCAAAATTTTAAGTAGAACTTATATAAAAGTGCATTTACTCTATTTTGCAAATAGTTTTTGAAAAGTGATTAAGTTGAGGTTTCAAAATATGGTTTTATGGGAGCCAGCCCAGTGGCAAAGTGGTTAAGCTTGTGCACTCTGCTTCGGCAGCCTGGGGTTCACAGGTTCGGATCCTGGGTGCAGATCTACGCACCACTTGTTGAGCCACACTGTGGCAGCATCCCACATATAAAGTAGAGGATGATGGGCACTGATGTTAGCTCAGAGCTAATCTTCCTCAGCAAAAACAGGAGGATTGGCAACAGATGTTAGCTCAGGGCTAATTTTCCTCAGCAAAAAGAGGAGGATTGGCAACAGATGTTAGCTCAGGGCTAATTTTCCTCAGCAAAAAGAGGAGATTGGCAACAGATGTTAGCTCAGTGCTAATTTTTC